TTGACTGGGTTTAGCTAGTTGGTACTTGTGCTGCATATGCTGTGTTGGAGACACAGGGCTGTGTTTGGCCAAGAGCTTTACTTGATTAGAGCAACCAAGATGACATTATTTATATGTCTGTTGCATAAACTAGACTCGCTGTAACTTCTGGTCCTGAATAAAAGATTTTCTCCAAGTAAATATAGCTGAATCTCTATATATCCATTCAGGACCCCACAAGACTGAAAACAGAAGCTGTCAAAAATTCAAGTGCTGGGCACACTATCACTTGTGCTTATTTTATTAGCTAAAAGGAGTCCAAAATCCAGTTGAGTCAAAGCCCAGGCCAGATTCAACAGAAGGAGAACATACTCTACTTCTGGTAGGAGGAGGAGAACATATATAAATATTGTGGAGGAACTGCTTGCAGCCATCTTTAAAAACAGTCATAAATTCCACACCCTTACCCTGTTCAAAATGCTTAGTAGCCACTCACTCTAAGATTCCTCACTCTAAGTCCCATATCATTACAGCATCTGCTTAATTTCCTTGACATCATCCTCTAAATCTAGTCTAGACCTCCACTGAGCACTGCAAGCATAGCTTCTGCTAATCTGAAGACATAGAAACTGAACAGTCTCATTTCATCATCACATCATATATAAAACACATTGTGATGAGACAGAGACAGGAAAATTGCCATATTTGTAATTTAGTATGTGGGACACAAACTTGAAATCTCTCTAAATTTTGGAAATCTCTTTGAATATTCCTGGCCAGAGAATGTGTTTTGTTCACAGACCATTGCTGTGGCTCAGGAGCTAACCTATTTTTCTAAATCCTTGCAGTTCCCTTGTGTCCTGTGGGCCAACCTCATCCTTGTTCCTTGTGTTTGTATTTGGGTAGCTTTCTCTTCCTGATTTCTGCTTGTGCCTACCCTGAGGGGGCTGTCCAAGTCACTTTGTTTTTATTTTTTCCTTTTTGACCTTTCTCCCCTTTTATTCCAAGCTGGCAGGACTGTTACAGGAAAATGTTGTTTAAGGCATTGCAAATTGCAAGATTTCTATAAATCTTATTCATATTTATGTCATGACTCCAAAGTCACAATTCATCATCCCTTAGACTTAGAAATGTTACGCTTTCGGGAAGAATGGAAAGTTCTTCGAATTCCTTTTGCCCAATGGAGAGCATCTGCAGGTCACTACCCTAAATCTTTTTGAGGTCTAAATAGTCTTGTAGCCCCATCTTTTCATCGGGGCTGCACCTTGCCCTTGGTTTTCTTTCTTCTGAGATGCTTTTCCTCATTGACGTTTTTGGCCAGCTGTAGAGGGCTATCCTGGATCTTCTAAGTTGCTTTATATAATGGTTTGAATGTAGACCAATTTTCTATGAATACCATAGAGGAGTAAAATAAATAGCAGTATTCTTTGGGGGCAATCTGAGCTTCCAAATTGTATAGGTACATTTTCTATTTTTCAGGTTATTGCAGTAACATGCCTCTAAATTGTACCCTGATAACATCGTATCCTCTTCCTCCTGCAACCAGCAGCAGCTTCTTCATTGGCTTTTCAGCCCCTTCAAGTTTCCAGACAAACCTTCGAGTTTCTGCCTACCACCAGTTGGCTTCTAGAATAATAGCACTTCAGTCATCATACCATCTTTCTTTGGTGGTGGTGGGCGATCCGTTATCCTTTCCTGCAAAATGTATCATTCTAGAATGTTTTGACAGGAAATAACAATGACAGACAACTTTTGTGATTTTGTGGGTTGGCTGGTCTCAGCCAGAAGATTCTCTCATTCTCTGTAGCATTGATGGGGCCATGGATGTGGGCATATTTATCTGGGAGTGGGGAACTGCACTGTCTACCACTATGTTTTACTGATGTAATTATGGTTTCAGTTCTATGAGAACATTTGCTTGGAGCTGGCTAAGTAATGTAGTCTGAGATTTTACAGGATGGCTTAGGGCTCCAAACACAAGTCAAAACTGTCATTCTCCTTAAAAGCAAGGACTCCTACCAGTGTCACGTTTTCTGCCTTGTACTTGCCAAATCAAGTCACAGACCAGCTCAGATTCAAAGGGGGAGAGAGGCCACTTTTAAATGGAGGATCACTAAGAATATACAGAAAAGGAAATACTGACAGGTGTAGTCAGAAGAAATTTACTTCAAATGTAATAATCACTTCAAAAGCAACAAGGTAATGGGAGAGAGGAAATTGGAGGGCATCAATTTAGACAGGATGGATAAGAAAGGTTACTTTGGGTGCTGAGGATGACAACAAAGTGGTTATTCAAGTCAACAGAAGACTTTAAGAGCCGAAGAACCAGTTAAGCAATCATTATGAAGGGTTTTAGAGACAAGCTTTCACTTTGAATAGGATTATGATAGTGGAGATGGAGCAATTAAAACAGAATCAGAATTTAGTTGTGAGTCCAGATTGCTGTTACTGATCAAGATACATGCAGGGTTTGAGGGAGGCAGGGATGTCAAGGACAACACCCTGGTTTTCTGGGTTTTATATTTGTGTATGAGTGTGTTGGTCCTGGGGCTTGAACTAAGGACCTGGGTGCTTAGCTTATTTTCCTTTTGCTCAAGTCTAATGCCTTACTATTTGAGCGACTGCTCAACTTCTGGATTATTTGGTCATGAATTAGAGATAAGGATTTCACACATTTTTGTGCCCAGGCTGGCTTTGAACATGATCCTCAGATCTCAATTTCCTTAGTAGCTAGAAGTACAGACAAGAGCCACTGACACTTTGCTTTGTGAAATGGTATTTGTGATCTTCCTCTTAATTTGTTTGCAAAAGGGATACACACTCATATTTGGAAATGTTGATTAAGAGGGACCATAGAAACATAAGAGTAGAAACTTCTGGTAAACAATTAGTAATGTGACTATGATCCATAGGAAACATCTAGTGGAAGATGTAAATTTTGGAGCCATCAGATTATAGATTCAACAGACAAGGTTCTAAATGGGTACACCTACCACTTAAAATTTTTATTAGTTTTCTTTACAAGTGCATACAACAAACTCACATTAGACCATAAAAATTCGGCAGAAGAAAAATACATCCTTTTTCATATACAATGATTTCATCATCTCATTTGGATTATAATGATTAGCTTGTCACTATTTTTACTTAAGTACATTTTCTTTCCTACTTTTAACTTTTTTATAGTTAAGGATTCAAATAATGCACAGATTTTAGGGAAAAAGTCATTACAATGATAAGAAACCACAACTGTTGCCTGTCCAACACCAGCACCATAAAGTTGCTGAAAACACTACTGACTTCATGTTGCATGTACAGAGTGCAAATACATGGTGGACTAGAAATATTATATGTAAAAGAGCAAGTACTCAATTATAAAAGAAATGAAGATTGTGATACAATCCTGTGTAAGATCAGAATGTCATTTTAAAGCTGGCTGATTTATTAAATGATGTTGGAAAAACTAATCACTTGAGAAAAATAATGATGTTAGCATTTTACCTATGAAGCAAATAAATCCTAGAGTGTCTGAATATTAAAAATCATAATCATGGAAACATAAAAACTGTAGGGAAACATTCATTTAATTCTAGGGTAGCGATGTCAAAGAATATCTGAAAAGCAAGAAGTTAAAAGGGATCAGTGGGCAGATACATGTGAATATAATCTTATTTCTAAAATAAAAGCATGAAAAAAAATTATAAAGCAAAAGATGGAGAAAAATATGAGGGACTAACTCTTAAGTAGTAGAATACTATCTTGGTGGGAGCTCTGAATTCAAATCCAAGTAACCACAAATTGAAAACAAACAAACAAACCAACAAAATATCCTCATATTAGCTGGTCACTGGTGGCTCATACCTGCAATCCTAGCAGCAACAGGAAAGTCTGTGAGACTCTTATCTCCCAGTAAGGACCAAAAAAGCCAGAACTGGAGCTGTGCCTCAAGTGGTAGAGCACTAGTCTTGAAAGAAAAAATTCAGGGACAGTGTCCAGGCCCTGGGTTAAAACTCCAGGATTGGCAAAACAAAAAACAAAAAAAAAAACAAAACAAAACAAAAGCTCTCAATAAAGTAAGAAATGACCCTTCTAATAGAAGAAAATAAAAAATATAAAGAATTATAAAAATATAAAGAATTATAAAAGAACAGTGGAAAACCAAAATTGTTCAATCTCTTTGAAGGTTGACAATCATAAAGTAAAATAGCAAAAAGTCAGTTTGTATTCTTAAACAATACTTTAAAAAAAGTCTATTTCGGTCAAATGTCTATTCTCAGTGTTTGACAAACTCTAATTTAAACTCTGATTGTGAATTGCATAGAACACAAGCATAATGAGGACAATCATTTCTGCGACTTGAACTTTACTTTTCCAACTCTAAGAAAAGTTGGAATAATAATTATAAATGACACCAGACTTTTATGCAAAATTATGGTCATTCATTATGATAAGTGCTAAGTAATGTATATACTATTTGTAGAGTGCCACTTAAGTCATTTAAGTACATATACAGAAAGTCAACTAGCAAATATTTTCAAAATATTTGTATAGGTTAACTCTGGGCATAAGATTAAATTTCTATTTTCTCATTTATTATTATTTCATGCATAATAAACATGAAGACTACAGGTAATTTTATCCCACTGAAACTATTTACAACTGAAATTTGTTGAATGGTAACTACTTTGCACAACTACTTAAAAACTATAAAAAATTAATAAAAATTACAATATATTTTACAGGGGTGTATCATTGGCTTACTCCTGTAATCCTATCTCTTCAGGAAACTGTGACTTGGAGCACCACAGTTCAAAATCAGCCTGTGCAGAAATGTTTATGACATTCCAACTCCAAAATAATCAGAAAAAATAGCCTGAATTCATTATTCATGCCAGTAAGCTGAGCAAGCACAAGGACCCGAGTTCATTCACTAGCACTGACAAAGCAAAATAAAATCAAAGTGATTTACAAATAGAAATATATGTTAACTCAGGATCCATGAACTATGTCTCTATACTTACTCTCCCAGGAAAACAATCTCAGTGTTGATTTCCCCGGCCTTGTGACGGAGAAAATTCCTCAGAAAGGCAGTGACGCTGTCAACAGTGATGTTTCCACAGACCACGATGAATCTAGGCAGTGAGAACAGGAAGGTAGGTCATCTGAGGAACAGAAAGTATATCTGTATCCCGTCATCTATAGGGAATGGATTCTAAGAACCCCAAGTATAACCAAATCTGCAGGTGCTTAATGTTCCTCATGTAAAATGGCATCATATTTACATACAATCTACACAATAATCCTCTCTATATTTTAAAAATAATCTCTAGATTACTCATAATATTTATTAAGATGAGAATGCCATATGGTATAGGAACAGTGAGACAAGGAAAGCAAATCTGTACAATTCATTTCAGATATAATTGTTTGTGACTTTTTAAAAATCTCTCCTTAACTGATTCCATGGCACAGAACCCATAGAGAAGATTGCCTATAGCCAGGGTTTAGAGACAATTAGATTAAAGTTGGTTGTAAGTAAGTCTGAATGGCCCAGCTTTCAAAACCACTAACACTAAAGATTCTTATCTTCTACATGAAAAAGAAGCATTCATTTTGGTAGTATTCTAGCTCACTCTCAAAAGGGCTTGACATCAAACTATTATATGTAGTTTCAGAAATGTGATTGTTATTGCTGGATTTGTCATAGTTATTTGTAATTTACAATGGACTTACTGTAGCATGTATGCTCTCCTTGTGAACTCCGTTATTCACAATTAAATAGCATTCTTTGGAGAATTAATCTATCTATTCCCCTCTCTCCTTTCTCTTTTAATTCCATTGCTTTCTCTGGAGCTCTTTCTCTCTCTCTGTTATTTAGAATGACATAGCTCATTTAATGCTCTCATGAACATCTACATAGTATCTCATAGCAAGCATGAAACATTGTTTGTACGGTGTTTATTCTAGTACTGCCCTCTTTAGTAAATAAAGGGTCTTGCCAATATATTCAACTGTGGTTCTGTAATTAGGGCAGGCAGTAGGTGTTGAGACTGAGATCCATGAATAATGGCACAGTTAAAACTGTAGAAATTGTTCATGAAACACTACTTACTTCTTCCCTTTCACAACTTGGTAAGACGTGGTGAATTTCTTCTTGTTAGCAAAAAGTTCTACCATTTCAGGGACATAGTTTGCAAATAGGACCTAAAATGATCAACAAATGAAATCTTAGGTCTTTTTATTCTGACGGATATTGAAGAAAGAAGTTATATATAATTTCCTCTTATTTAGCATGGGTTATGATAGAGAACAACATTTTAAAAAGGAGAAATTTGTCTTCCGTATGTTTCAGTCTTCTGATTTGGTTAAAATTTAATAAATGCTGTACCACATTTGAAGTAATCAAAGCAAAGGCAAATAGTAAGATAGCTTTCCCTGCCAATTTTGTCTCCTTTTGTGATTTATACCTTTCTTCTTAGTATAAAATCACAACAAGTGATTTTATACTTATAAAATTAGAATAAGTGATTTTAAATTATTTGAGCCTTGAAAAGTCACTAAAGGAAAGTTTCCTTTGTTCTTGATACCATTCTGAATCAAGCACAGATGTCTACTTATCATCAAACATGAGTATCATGAGTCTTAGGATGGAACACAACTTTCTTTAGATCACATCTCAAATGTCTTAAATATCTTCCTCTTTAGAGTAAAGACTAAGTTGATAGGCAAAGATTAAGAAAGACAAGTTCTCTCAAATAAATATAGAGTCTAATAAGGAAAATAGGCCCCTTTGTCTACCATTCTTGTCCCCAGGAAACTGAATAATTGCATTATTGACTCCAAGGGACATAATTTGGAAAATGCAGAATCTATGCATCTTTAGTATCATATGATACCTGCATTGAATAAGGCAACATTCTCTCTCAAACCTAGGTTGCCTTATTTCTCACCATTAACCAAATGCTTTTCCAGCTTATGTAGCTATATTCAAAAAAGAATAGGAATAGTCTTCACCAAGCTGCCCAGGGTGAAGAACACGATGAAGGCCCGTCCTAGAGATGTCCTAGCCACCACATCTCCAAAGCCAACAGTGGATGTTGTTGCCACAACCAGGTAAATGGAGTCAAAATATGAAATGTTCTGTGCATTTCTATCTTTGAGCCAGGGGTCACCAGAATTTTCTACCTGTCCAAAGAAAGAAGAATTAGGTCTATGAATGGAATGAAGCATTTTAGAAAGACTAGGCAAAATACTGGATTGATTTCACTCATAACTCAATTTAATAAAAAGTCACATGCTAATCAACCTGCTGTGAAAGTTTTGAAAATCGTGGATAGTCATTGTAAAGCTTGGTGTCTGAAGGGCAGTGGCTTGCCTTCAGCATTTGAAATATTCCACAGGAGAGATGTGACCCTACCTGTCTCTTCACAAGGCACATCATCACTATGGTATCCTCAGCCAAGAGACTCCAGCGATTATCACACATTCTCATTTTGCAACCAAATTAGGAACATCGTAGAGGGAAATAGTGTGAGCGCATCATTTCAGTGAGCTGTGATATGTCCAACCAAACCAAACCAGACTGCCAAATAATCTCCTTTTCTAGGCAAAAATCTTTCCCATGATTAAAAAAATAATTCCAGATGGTCTATATAACACATAATCATTATTATACATGATATATACCATGTATCATTTGTCATAATATTTATGCTTATACACAATTTGTAAGTATATATAACGTTCCTTCCTCTTTCCTTCCCTCCTTCCTTTCCTCTCTTCCTTTCTTCCTTCCTTCTTTGCTTCCTTCCTTTGCTGCTGCTGCTTCTACTTCTACATATTTTGGGGGGGAGAAGGTGTGGGTAAAACCTAGGATTTCACATAAGCAAGTACTCTACTACTAAGCTACACCTCAGCACTGGTGTAGCTTGACTTTTTACATTTGTCTTAAATTCAAGAATTCTCCAACTTCCATGAAGATTTAGCAGTAAACACTACCTCTTGCATATACTTTTACATTGAACTAGGTGTTTCCAAAGAGCAGATTTGGGAAGCTGGAAGAAGGAAAGAGATACCTTCGATGTGGGAGTCACATAATTAAGGCAAATATGAGGTTGGAAAACAACCTAGAAGGAGGAAGTAAATAGTTAAACCTCTGGTTTCTGCATGCTTTTCTCCATTTCTCAAAGGAAGGAGGCTCATACTGACAAATGCTATGCTAGTTAGCTTTACATCTGTCAAATACCCATGATAACCACTTAAAAGAGGAAGTTTCTTTTACTTATGAGTTCAGTCGGTTCAGTCTATGCATTATAGTGGCATGGAGATGTGATAGGGACGCTTATTTAACTCTTGCTAGGTAGGAAGCAGAGAAAGTACAGGTACCTAGGCCATACCTCCTGGGACCTAGTTCACTTTTTTCCAGGTAGGCCTCATCTATTAATGTATAGCTCCACTGGAAATCAAGTTTTCAATACATGAACCTGGGGAGGATACCTCATATTAAAATTGTAAGAGTTGCTGGTAAGGATCATAAAGAGATACATACCAGGTGAATGAATCCAGCAGCTGTGAACCAGGTACTGAGAATTATTGCTAACAGCTTGGAAAGTTTCACTGAATTACTAGAGAAAGAAAGACAAAGAGCTATTGTGTATCCTTAAGCAGCTCCCAACACAACATAAATACACCCTCTGAAACCTTGCTTGCTGCTCATACTGGGGTTCAGATAGAAAATAATAGGCATCCCCTGAGCTCATGAGAAATAGACTACTGTCAATCTGCATTGTTACAGATCTTTGTTTAATTCAACATTAGAGTATGAAAAACACAGCTCTAAAATTTACATATTCTCACAAAATCTTAAAAACCTGTAGATTTTGATTTTGGTGCTATCTGCTAGCCTGGTTTTACATAGCTTTAAATATTAAGAAATAAGATGAGCACCTGTGGCTCACGACTGTAATCCTAATTACTCAGGAGTCTAAGAACTGCAGATTGTGCTCAGGGCCAGCCTGAGCAAGGAAGTCCATGAGCCTCTTATCTCCAAATAACCACCAAAATAGTCAGAAAGCTGTGTCTCAAGTAATAGAGCTCTAGACTTGAGCAAAAAAAAAAAACTTAGAGACAGTACCTGGACTCTGAATTCAAGCCCCAGGAACAGCACACCCAATAAAATATAACATAAATTTGATAAATGATTATTTTATCTAAAGTAATGGTCCAAAATGTCAGCAGTTCATGGTGTGGGCCTGACCTAAAAAATAAATTTTGAGTAGATTACAAAAATGTAGAGTCATTCAGATTGCTGAAATTACACCAGCATCTTTGAAGGAAAAAAATCAGGTGGCCAAGTCTACCAAGGATGTTCCTAGATTTTAGGTGAAATCTCTATGGCTTGCAGGCAGGACACTTGTAGGTTCTTTCTTTTTTCTTTACTTTCTTTTTTTTGGGGGGGTGGGGGGGGGTCCATTGTGGGGTTTGAACTTAGGGCCTGGGTGCTATCCCTAAGCATTTCGGCTTAAGACTAATGGTCCACCATTTTGAGCCACAGCACCACTTCCAGTTTATTGGTGGTAAATTGGAGATAAGACTTTCCTGCCTGAGCTGGCTTTGGACTGTGTTCCTCAGATCTTACCCCCCTGAGTAGCTAGGATTACAGGCATGGACTTCCATTGCCAGGCCTAGCTGTCATTTCTTACTCAAACCTCTCCACAATGCACACATTCTCAGCAAAGAGATCCATTGGATAGCATTTACTATTTCTAATGAGAATGTATAGAGATTTATGAGGGGTGACAGACAACTGCTTGAAACTATAGAAATATTGTAGTTTTTTCCCTCTCTCTCTCTTAAATTTGATGTTTGAACTAGAGTTTAGGACCTCATGAGGCATGTGTTGTACCACATGTGTTGTACAGTTTCTATAAGCAAGTTTACTGCTACTAGCAGAAAGCTGTCATGCTCATAGAAATTGTTACATCTCTGCCTACAGAAGCATTTCCTATTTTATCTAACCAAGAGAACAAATGTACAGGAACAAAGTCCCTGAGTTGGCTGATTATTTTCTTGGGGGGGGGGCATGGTAGAGACTTAGATTTAAAACCTAAATGGACTTATAAACTGTAGCTTTGCTAAACAAAAAATAACACATCTCTTTAGAGTGATTGCACAGTCTTCAGCCACTGTGGGATATAATACAATAGGAGGAATTGAATGGCATCACAGATGACATACTTTTTGCACTGAAATTCTGGTGAGATATAGTGGTTTTGGGGGGTCCAGTTAATATTTTAACTTTCTAAACCAAACTACTAAGCAAACAGTATGTTAGACAGGGTTGGTGCTTACCTGGTCTTAATGACCTGTAGAATTTGCAAGATTTGAGGCAGTTCTAGCAGCCTTAGAGCTCTGAGGAACCTTAACCCTATAAAACAATGAAAAAGGGTGAAGCTGCCAAAGGAAGAGGGTCATTTTAGAAGTAGCTTGACTTGCTACACTCCCAGAAATGTAAGATATAATATGATATAATAAATATAGTGGTGTATGATACTGTGTAATACTAGAGATTACTATATTACATCATGTTGTACTTTTATTATAATTCTGTAGGATAAAGGGCACGATCTCTGACACTTGTTAGCTATTGTCACCTAAAGCAACCTCCTCAATTTAGCTTCTCATCTATGTAGTGGGATTCAATAGTACCCCCTCATATAGCTATAGGATTAACAAAAAGCATGTGGAAGCACACGTCACGTATAATCAGCACTCTTCATCTCATTCTAACTCTTCTACAGAATTGAAAGCAACATTTCCCTAAAGCACTTAAACACCTCGCATATACAATCTTTATGAACATAAACTCTATGCTATGATTCTCAGCATTATAGGATGTTTTCTTTTATGTAGTTTTGCTAATGATGACACTAGGGGATGGAATGGGGTTATGTTCTATAAAACAGAATTAAATCAAAATAGAAAATGACACGACATCTGATCAAAGCTACTCAATGGCTATTCACAGTTACCACAACTATCTTAAAGATGAAACAACTAAACAGGTCCCAAATATGTTTTATAGGTCTAGAGTTGATGATCAGCTTTTATAGACCAGGAGTTGTTTTTATATCATAGCCCATATGAAATCCCAGCACACCGGTGTCATAGGGGAATAAACTGTGGGAGCCTTGCTTTCTAGATTATGGATATAGCTATTCTATAAATAACTATGATGTCCCTACATATACTGGGTGCATTGCTATACGCCAAGGTTAACAAATAGCCTCTGCAAATGTATGCAAAACCATACTATGAAGGGGGAGGGATTTTTAAAAAATATTTTAAAAATTGTCATTAAATAGATATAAAAAGACTTCAACATGTCAGTTTATGAGTACAATATCTTAATCAGTGTCACACTGGCCATCATTCTTCCCCCATCTGTTTATTACTTTCTTTCTTTTTTGTCAGTCATGGGGCCTGAACTTTGGGCCTGGGCACTGTCCCTCAGCTCTTCAGCTCAAGGAGAGCACTCTATCATTTGAGCTACAGCACCACTTCTGGCTTTTTTTCTGCTTATGTGGTGCTGAGGAATCAAACCCAGGGCCTCATGCATGTAAGGCGAGTACTCTACCACTGAGCCACCTTCCCAGCCCTCCCCCCCCCATCTGTTTAAACCCCACTTATCCCCTTCAAGTTTCTTAGTTTCATTTTCCCATATTCACCCACCATTCCTTTCTCCATTCATCCACCTGCTCCCCAGTGTCAGTTTCATGGTATTTCTTTTGTCAAATTAACAGTTAAGTTTTCAAAGGAGTTAGATCATGGGAATCCATCCCTGTTCATACCACACTTTTTTCAGTTTCATTGTGTTTATATGCATATGTCCCAGGGATTTCCTTAAATATCAGTGAGACATTTAAAAATTGAATACTTTTAACCAAATGTTGAACCTTCCTTTTAGACCCTGTAGTGACTCTCACAACAGACTTACCTAGCCAATTACTCTTCAAATAATAAGAAATAAAGGCTGGTGGGACGGTAAAAATGTCCACAATTGAATTCAGTTCCACCCAGAACTTGATCTTGTCACCAGCTGCCAAAAACTATGAAATAGAAAATAACACCTAAAATTCTGTTACCTTAAGGAATTTTAAAGTGAACACAATATGAAAATGACATTTTTCAGTTACATTTCATTCACTTGATTTCACTTCATTTTACACATGTGCAAAAACATACATCTTTATGCAAAATACAGATGCACACATAGACACAGAAATTGTGATTTTAATTGGTGTTCAATAAATGAATACTGAGCTTTTTGCTGCTTCTAAAGTTTTCTGATTTATATACATACATATAAAATTATACATATGTATATAATATATGCATAGATTATATAATGTACATAATTATGTATATAAAACCTGCTACTGTGAGGAATGAAGAGATTTGACTAATGGTGTTTCTCAATAAAGAAGGTGCATCTCTCTAGTTCAACTGGTCATAGCCCCTATGAGCTTCCTTATTTAGAGTAAGAAATATATAGTTCCAGAGTCTACTTACTATAAAAGGAGATTTTGACCATCCATGTGTTCAAAGTTTTAGGAAGCTCACAGAAATAAATATACATAGATACACATACAAAGATATGTATACAGGACATGTTTACATACATTAAAAGTCTTGTTTTTGTATGTCTACAGACATGGGCATATGTGTCTGTAGGTAAGCAGACATATAGACAGATAGGTAGAAGTCTCTCTCACCATTACATATATGAATATATTAAAATCTAGATCCAGGGAGTGCTTAATAAATGCTTCCAAAATAAGGGAAGCGTTTAATAAATATTAACAAAATCTGAAACAAAAGTGCACAAGCACTTTACATAGTTGAGTGGAACATATGTCTTTAGTGGAAGCATCAACTCTCCTGGGGACTTGTTATGCTTGTTCTAATAGCCTGTGATTACTGGTAAAGCTTTCTCTGTGGCAAGTGGAATACCATAGAAGGCCATTATGACAGGTTTTCAATTGAGTTGGAGAGAGGACTCGGTCTCATTACATCTACTGAACAGCTAAGAGCACAGACCTTTGATCCTTAGACCCTTCAAACCTGGTTAGATTGTGTAATTTTGCTCTTGTTGTATTTGTGTGTTTTCTCCGACTTCTCATAGGTACTTACTCTTAACCCAAAATAGAAACTAAAGAAAGCATTGAAAATCAAATCAATGGGTATTGTTATATCGTCATATGAAGAACAGCTTCCAACAGGGCTGGAAAAGAAATAAAGACAGTTTGCAAAGTGGAATACTGTAAAAGTTACGTTACTAAAAATGAATTAAATGAGAGAGCAGGCAATTTTCTTTGCATTCAACGTGGATGGTCAGTTCACACAAAAGTTGAACTCTGAAGAAAATTACCTTTCTTTTGGGAGTAGAGCCATGCATAAACAAAACAATTGGACCACCCAGGGAACTGGAAATAACAGGAAAATTACCCACCATTTCTGTCATGTGATTGTTGGTTCTATTTCAATTTTTATCAATAGAGTTTTGGGGGTTTTTTTTGGTTTTTTTTTTTTTTTTTTTTTTTTTTTGCTCTACACATTATGTGGCTCTCTTGATTTCCAGAACCATTTATCAAGTCAGGGTGTTTTTAAGCTTGTCTATATCTTGATATAGAATTGCTATGGGACAAATGGACTTATTTGAATCAAATTCAAAATAGTTTCCTATAAGATCTTTAGGAATTTACAACACACACTCAGTTTCTGTAGGTTCTCTAACATGTCCTGACTTTGAGGGATCTGACATGCTCATAATTTAGTTCATCTGAGACTTCCAGAAGATTGGTATGGAGTTCAGATTAAATTGGCTTAGTCCAACAAACCCCTCTAAGCTTGCTAGAGAAGCAAAACTTTCAGAAAAGGGCTGCTGCTTTACTTGAGGTGAGGTCTGGCATTTTCTCAAAACTCTGAACTTACACTTCTACACCCAAAGAATTCACTGCCCTTCATAAGGGCTCAAGTAAGGAGATGACACGAAAGCTTGGAGCCCTGGTGAATCTAAGGCATGTCTGTGTCCCCCATGCAACGGGGGATGGCAGAATAAGGGAGAGTTCTCAATTTATTATAGAATTGAGCTTAGGGCTGACTACACTAGTAAGTATGTGCACTACACACTTACTCCTCTGGGAGAATGTGTGTGTGTGTGTGTGTGTGTGTGTGTGTGTGTTTCTGTCTGTCTGTCTGCCTAAGTGTCTGTGTATTGTGGGAAAGTGTATTAAACATTATTCCTGAGCAGGTATGTCAAAGTAGTTAAGTTTCTCTTACATCAGACAAAAATGACAGAGAATTTTACTTACTCAGTAGAATTGATGAAATAGATTATGAGAGACCCGATGCTTAGTACAAAAACGAGGAGCACCTAAAAACAAAGCAAAACAAAGCAGGGACAAATGTGCAAATCTGTTTTATTGGCATGGTACAAATAAACCAATACCACTGCGCTTCCTCTTTTCAAAATCAATAAACTAAATTTTATTGTGACAACAGAGGATATACTATAGGTGGAAGAACAAACAAAGGAAACAACTAAATCACATAGTACATTAAAAACATCATCATCAACAAAGAAAAACCCCTTATGTCCATGTCTTGAAGTTCATTTTGCTTAACATCATCTTATATAGCCATATGTTCATAGCTATTATGTAACTGAAATCCCTCTGTATATCACCTTGGTAATAAAAAATATGTAAAAGAAAGGATCAAACTAACAAATTTTAACACTTACTATACATTGACAAAACTGTGACCCTGTGGAAGAATACATGCAATGACCAACTAAATAAAATGTGACAAACAGAAAAAAATATTGTGTATATTTATTACTGTGGGGGAGAAGAGAGGATGAGAAAATATTTATTCTCATGTTCATTTTGGCCATCATTCATTCAAAATATGTATTGGGCATTTCATTAAACCAATAAATATTTACTTCTCTTGCATAAATTTAGCTCTAATATGTGTCAGAAGAAATAGATTGTGTGTCCTGCCACTCCTAGAGGTGGTTCTTAATTTGTACTAGGTACATCACATCATTACATGGTATAAGAGCTATCAGAAAAGATTTTAGATTTGAGCTGCGTATGATAGAAGAAACAGATCCTCACATGACCACCCTAAAGGATAGTCTAAACTTCCACAAGAGGGAAAAGGGCAAACGTGAGAGGAAAAGGAATGTGTGTAACATGCCAATGAAATAAATTTGAAACAAAGCCAGGCCTGTGGAATGCAGTCAGAGAACTGTCCATTCAAAACCCTCCAGGCACTTCTGTGAACTCTTGGCCTCTCTGAATTTTTTATTTTATTTTTTTTTATTGTGAAAATACTGTACAGAGGGGTTACAATTACATGGGCAAGATAATGAGTACATTTCTTATCAAGCATTGTAGCCTCCTCTTTTGTTTCCGGTTCCCATCCTGCCCCTGCCCCCCACCCAATCCTCCCCACCCCTCCCCCCCACCAAAGTTGTAAAGTTCGTTCGTTTTCGACATAACGATTTGTACATCTCATTGTTGCAATGGGTCCACTTGTATCCCTATTTAAACGATTTGTTTTTCCCCTTCCCCTCCACAAATTATACCGACATCAAATACAGTGAAAGCAGGGGTTACACTATGGGGGAGGGACATACAAAGCAACAAAGAAATAATCTTATAAGTGTGTTAGAAACACTCGCATGAAAGAAAAAATGAATACATATCTTAGGATTCATTTCCCTAACATCACCTTATCTGACCTTTTCTGCTTGACTCAGACAAATACTAGATATTGCAAATAAGGGAAACCATGGGACCTATGTTTTTGGAGGGGATGTGGACAGAAGGGAACCTTACTTCATTGTTGGTGGGAGTGTAAACTTGTTCAACCACTTTGGAAAGCAGTATGGAGGTTCCTCAAAAGACTCCACATAGAGCTCCCCTATGACCCAGCAATCCCACTTTTGGGCATTTACCCAAATGTTTACAAACAAGACCACTAAAGCTACCAGCACGACTATGTTTATTGCAGCATTATTTACTAAAGCTAAGATATGGAACCAACCCAGATGCCCCTCAGTAGATAACTGGATCAAGAAAATGTGGTATATATACACAATGGAATTCTATGCCTCCATCAGAAAGAATGACATTGCCCCATTTGTTAGGAAATGGAAAGGCTTGGAAAAAATTATATTAACTGAATTTTTTAAAGACCGGCTTTAGGTAGTTTAACATCTCTTTAGTTACTTGTAGTTTCCAATTCATCCTGCTTGTCAATTAAGTCCAGTGCAGTAACAATAACCAAACTCAATTTGATTACAATGGAAGCTTTGCTGCCTCCCAACTCAGGTGTTTCTTGGGAGGCTTGCTCGTTTTGGGAAAGCAGTTTCTTCTCTCTAAGTCTTTTTGAATGTTTACTTTTAGTTTGCCACCAAGTAAGCTGCTTATGTCCTCTCTAAAACCATAGGTCAGTGTGGAGGAGTGCAGAGAGGAGAGATGGGAACAGTTATTGACTGGTGTTAGGTCACGCCACTGTCTCATAGGGATTTACTGACTGGGTAAGGAAGGTGTTTAATGCCTTTTCCTGCATATTGACTGGGGTTAGGTCACGGTACTGTCTCATAGGGATTGACTGACTATGCCTATTCCTGTATATTTTTTTTGAATTGGAAATTTACAACTCAAGTTCAACAAATATGTGTTTAGCAATTTTCATTACCCAACGACTATTCATTTCATCAGTAAGCGGCATACCCAAGGATCCCTGTCCTCATGGAACCACATCTGCACAATAAATAAAGATGATTAATATACGCATTATATAGCATGCTGAAAGATAAGTGCTAGGGAAAAAGGTAGAACACAGTAAAGGAGCTAAGAGTTGTAGTCTTTCATACTATTTTATGGCAACGTAACTCATTTGTAGATGATAACTTTTTCCTTGCTTACTCAAGCTTATAACAGATCCAAGAAGAAAAGAAAACAGAAGAAAAAAAATTCCCAATGCTAAAGTATGTTATTCATGAAAGAAAAAGTGGTAAGGAAGAAAACTGGGGAAATTAGGGTTCTGGGTACCTTTTTACTTTATAGACATTAAGAAGTAGGCTATCTCTCCTTACCCCAGTTAGAATGGCTATAATCGAGAAAACTAATAACAACAGATGCTGGAAGGGATACAGCCAAAAGGGAACCCTACTGCACTGTAAGTGGGAATGTAAACTTTTTCAACCACTCTGTAAAGCAGTATGGAGGTTCCTCAAAAGACTCCACATAGAGCTCCCCTATGACCCAACAATCCCACTTCTTGTCATTTACCCAAATGACCACAAACAAGACCATACTAAAGCTACCAGCACAACTATGTTTATCACAGCATTATTCACCATAGCTAAGATATGGAACCAATCCAGAGGCTCCTCAGTAGATGAGTGGGTCAAGAAAATATGGTACACACACACACACACACACACACACACACACACACACACACACACACACACAAACAATGGAATTCTATGTTTCCATCAGAAAGAATGACACCACCCCATTTGTTAGGATATGGAAAGACTTGGAAAAAATCATGTTAATTGAAGCCAGACCCAAAGAAATATAGGTCCCATGGTTTCCCTTACTTGAAATAACTAGTTTTTATCTAGGATAATCTCATCAGATGAGCAGAAAAGTTCAAAAGCTACATACATATGACACCAAAGATGATACTAATAGTGAAATGAACCCTAAGATATGGACACAATAAGTTTTTCTTTGTTATTGTTGTGTTTAATGTATTATGTGATTTTTTTTTTGCTTCTTTTGTATGTTCTTCCCCCTATGTTATATCCTCTGTTGTCACTGTATTTAATTTTGATACCCTTTATCTTGTATATACATTTATCTAATTTAGGGAAGGAAGGGGAATAACAAAATGCTGCAACAAGGACACTGTAAATGATCTTTACAACTTTGGGGTGGGGGGAGGTGGAGGTGGGGAAAGGCAGGGATAATAGGGAAGAAAACAAAGGAGGGGGTAACAACATTCAACAAGAAATGTACTCATAGCCAAGAACTGGTGGCTCATACTTGTAATCCTAGCTATTCAGCAGGCTGAGATCTGAGGATCATGCTTCAAAGCTAGCCCAGGCAGGAAAGTCTGTGAGACTCTTATCTCCAATGAACCAGAAAACCAGAAATGGTGCTGTGGCTCAAGTGGTAAAACACTCACCTTCAGCTGAAGAGCTGAGGGACAGCACCCAGGCCCAGAGTTCAAGGCCAGGACAGATAAACAAACAAACAAACAAATAAATGCACTCATTACCTTAGTCATGTAACTATAACCCCTCCGTACAGCATCTTTACAATAAAATAAAATTTAAAAATAAGTAGACTGTCAGATGATCAGATGTGTGATCCTAACTCTGTCCCAATTCCCCTGCCACCCACACATTCATACAATAACAACCAGAAGGCGGAAGGCAGAGGTTCACATGAGTTCAATAGCTTCTACAAGGAAGAAAGCTGAGGTGAAGAAAAACATGCTAAAAGCAACATACAAATGGACAATATGAAAATAAAACACATAGAAATCTACAGAGACACACAGGATGGATTTGATTTACCTTGTGTTTATGATATGAATATAGAATTAATCACATTAAGATGCCAATAAATAAGTAAAAATAACTAACAATGTCTAAAATTTCAGTGCTTGTTTTTCCATGAGTTGTTTATCTGCATTATTGTACAATTCCCTATGCAACACTCTTATAGGGTTACTGAAATCTTCTCTATATTCATCAGGTGAATAAATTGAAATCTGAGGAATCAGAGGAGCTCATGTTTGAACTCTCACTTCTCAAAATCCAAACCCACCTTGAATCCTGCTCCTCAAGTGTGAGATCAGAACACAACAGAGTTCCTGCTGTATACAGGTCCCCATTGACATTCTTTTACCAACAGATCCTCACTTGCTTGTTGAAGCAACTGGTAGTTAGATATTTACATAGGCACCATATTCTATGTCTTTCCTAAAGACTGATAAAACACATCACCATAAAGGAAAAATGATTAGATACGCTTGATAACATCAGAAATACGTATACTCTTTTTTTCTGGTCCTGGGATTTGTATTCTGGATCTGGTTACTGTCTTTGAGTTTCTTTTGCTCAAGTCTACCACTCTACTACATGAGCTATAGTGCCATATCAGCTTTTTTGAGTAGTTTATTGAAGATAAGAGTCTCATGGACTTTCCTCCCTTTGTTGGCTCTGAACTGCAATCCTCAGATCACAGCCCCCTGACTTGCTAGGATTAAAGGGGTGAGCAACTGTCATCAGGCACAAGTATATTCTTTTGTTGTTGTTGTTGGTTGTGGGGCTTGAAC